ATACCAGGGCCCAGCCTCTCACGCAGCCGGCGCCTCTACCTCCGTCCGTAGAGGTCGCTGTGGAGTGCTACAGCTTCTCTAGGCAGCGGAACCGGAAGCCTCTTTCACCTCTTAGTTCCGGTCTTTGGCCCAGGCTTGGGCTGCGTGGGGAAGGTTTTGCAATGCCGACCGGAGATTTTGAGTGAGTCTGGGGTCGTGAAGGGGGGTTTGGGAGGCAGACGGGAGGGTCCTAGGAGTTAATATGGAGCCTGGGTGCGTCGAGGCCGCGGGAGCCGGGCCTCGGCTCATTCATCCGTCCTTTTGACAAACTTGTCCCCGCAGTTCGAAGCCCAGTTGGGCGGACCAGGTGGAAGAGGAAGGAGAGGACGGTGAGTCTACCTTGTCGCCCCTGATCACCACAGCCCGGCCTACCCCCGCCACCCCCAGGCCGTCACTGCTGCCTGCTCTGATCTTTCACCCTGGCATCGCCGTCAGGCCCTGCATCTCCCCTGACGGCCAGTCCCTGCTCCGCGTCACTCTCATCTGGGCCAGCCTATCTCCAGTCCATATGTTCACCAGCCAGCCCATCTTCTGCCATGCCACCGCCCAAGTCCTTGATGCCAGCACTGATGCTTCCCTACTCCGGGGAGGAAATTGTAACAGCCACATTCCTGCCTTTATTAATACTAGCGACCGGCTGCCTATGGCCCGCGCCTGCCCTCAGGCCAGGGATCCCCTATGCTTCTCATTGCTGGAAGTTATTACTGGCCAGTTCCGTGTCCCTGGATGGCTATCCCAAGACACTTCCTGGCCAGTCTTCAGCCCTTGGTCCGGCCTTTCTCAGCTCCTGGTGCAGACATTATCCCAAAGTTCCCTCGATTTCAGCTTGGGAGTTCCTGTCCCTGCCCCCCCCCCAACCCCCCTCCCCAGCTGACCCCTGCTTCCTCCACTCCCTGTCACAGACAAATGTGTCACCAGCGAACTCCTCAAGGGGATCCCCCTGGCCACTGGGGATACCAGTCCAGAGCCTGAACTGTTGCCGGGAGGTGAGTGCCCGACTCCACTCCAGCCCCAGGCCGTCTCTCTCCCCAGCCTCCTTCCTTCTGGTCCCTGTTATCCAGGGCTCAGTTCCTTTGTCTCTTCCCCTCTCCCAGCTCCACTGCCGCCTCCCAAGGAGGTCATCAATGGAAACATCAAGACAGTGACGGAGTATAAGATAGATGAGGATGGCAAGAAGTTCAAGGTGAGGCTGGGGAAGAGGCGCGCTTGAGGGGCACTTGGACTAGGATAGAGTGGTGTGTTGGCTGTCTTGATGAGGAAGATCTGCCGGCTCTAGGAACCTTGAGCAGGAGGCCCAAACCTTTCCCCTCCTGTCCACAGATTGTCCGCACCTTCAGAATTGAGACCCGGAAGGCCTCAAAGGCTGTGGCAAGGAGGAAGGTAAGACCCTTCTCCGCCTGTCCAGGGCTGACTCAGAGGAAAAATTGGAGTTCTTTTCCCCATTGCCTTCTTTTTTAGAAGTGGGGTTTAACTGTTTGTGGGCTTCCCTGATGGCTCAGTGGTAAAGAATCTGCCTGCAATGCAGGAGATGCCGGTTCATCCCTGGGTTGGGATGATACCCTGGAGAAGGGGATGACTACCCACTTCAGTTTTCTTGCCTGGAGAATTCCATGGACAGAGGAGCCTGGTGGGCTACAGTCCATAGGGTCGCAAAGAGCTGGACATGATTGAACGACTAATGCTTTTTATGTCCACAGATTGTCCGCACCTTCAGAATTGAGACCCGGAAGGCCTCAAAGGCTGTGGCAAGGAGGAAGGTAAGACCCTTCTCCGCCTGTCCAGGACTGACTCAGAGGAAAAATTGGAGTTCTTTTCCCCATTGCCTTCTTTTTTAGAAGTGGGGTTTAACTGTTTGTGGGCTTCCTTGATGGCTCAGTGGTAAAGAATCTGCCTGCAATTCAGGAGATGCCAGTTCATCCCTGGATTGGGATGATACCCTGGAGAAGGGGATGACTACCCACTTCAGTTTTCTTGCCTGGAGAATTCCATGGACAGAGGAGCCTGGTGGGCTACAGTCCATAGGGTCGCAAAGAGCTGGACATGATTGAACGACTAATGCTTTTTTGTTTTTTTCTAATTTTTTGGTTGCACTACACAGCATGTGGGATCTTAGTTCCCCGAGCAAGGCTTGAACCCACGCCTTGTGCATTGGGAGTGCGGAGTCTTAACTGCTGGGCCACCAGGGAAGTCCCCTGTGTGTACCTGTTTTGTTGGAGCAGAACTGAGGCCTGTGTGCAGTCCATGGGGGCCCTGAAAAGTCCAGCAGGCGCAGGAGTAGGGGCGGAGGGGTTGGTTCTTACTTCTCTTGGCTTGTCGCCTGGGAGGAACAGCCAATACCACCTATGAGGTGGTTGTAGCAGCAGAAGTGATGGCGGTAAATACATTTTGCACGGTTACCTACATACTCTGTTAGACTCAGGTGCTTCATGGGAAGTATTTTCTCATTCAGTCCCCCTAGCATTCCAGGGAGGTGTGGGGAGCATTGTGGCCCCTTAAAGGGAAGGATGCCAAGGTGCAGGTAGTTTAAAGAGGTCAAGTGAAGTGAAACTTCAGTTCTCTCATCTGTAACATGAGGCTGAGAGCTGCCCCTACGATCTCCTGGAGCTGGCCTGAAGCTGGGGCCTGGCATGCCCTCAGGGAACAGAAACTGTCATCGTTACTTCTCCAAGGAGCATTTGAGGAAGGCAGTGAATGGGGTTCAAGGCCCACCCACCCTCAGGGTAGCTCTTGTTAAGTCTAGGGTGCACATGGAGGGGGTCCCACTTGTCCCTGCCCTGACCTGTCCCCCGTCCTGTCTTGAGCTCAGAACTGGAAGAAGTTTGGGAACTCAGAATTTGACCCACCGGGGCCCAACGTAGCCACCACCACAGTCAGCGATGATGTATCCATGACATTCATCACCAGCAAAGAGGTAAGTGGGGTGGCTGGCTGGGGGAGCCAGTGGCCAGGGTGTTGGTGGAGGCAGCTGGGGAGCGGCTGCCCCGTCTGAACTGCCCCTACCTGCCCTGCCAGGATCTGAACTGCCAGGAAGAGGAGGACCCAATGAACAAGCTCAAGGGCCAGAAGATCGTGTCCTGCCGAATCTGCAAGGGTGACCACTGGACCACCCGCTGCCCCTACAAGGACACGCTGGGGCCCATGCAGAAGGAGCTGGCCGAACAGCTGGGCCTGTCCACTGGCGAGAAGGAGAAGCTCCCCGGAGGTGCCAGGGCCCTGGGATACGGGATACAGCTGGCAGACTTGGGGGTTGGGGGCAGGAGTCGGGGTGGAGCACAGGCATTGAGTGCATCTCTGGGAGTCGTGGGTCCTCACCTGGGGTCCGGACAGGACCACCACTGTTGGTGGTTATCACCTCCCACACAACAGCAAGGCTGTGGCCACAGCCCACGTTGGTTTGTGTGAGAAACTGCAGGTGGGTGCTCTGCCGGTGACGTCACCTGTCTCTCCCTCTTGGGGTTTGTGAGAGCCTCTAGTGAGCACAGCTGCAGGTGTAAGGACATTGCGAGTAGTGAGGGGAGACGGCTGTTCTCTCAGTGTGTCTGTCCTGACTGGAGGTTGCTGTGTTTGCACGCGTGTGTTTGCACACGCACATGCATGCACACACACACACATTGGAGTTCTATCCTTGTGACTTGTGTGCACAGCCACTTGCCATCTGTCCCAGGGTCAGGAACCTGGGGGCTGTTGCTACCCTGTCTTGATGTGTGTGCGAGGCTGGGCATTTTCTCACTGTGGGTTCTCTCGCTCTTCCTGTGCTGCTAGCAGGCACGGCATGTAAGTGGCTCAGCTTCCTGGATGTGACCTTTAAGTCCTTTTAAGACCTTTAGCCCTTGAAGAGATCCCCCAGATGCCTGTGGTTTGAGAGAGAGGGTGCTTGGGGCTGGATCATGGCCGGAGCGGCTAGCATCCTGGGCCAGGCCTATGCGAGGGGAGGCTTGACCTAACCTTGCTTTTGGTCCCCAGAGCTGGAGCCTGTGCAGGCCACTCAAAACAAGACTGGGAAGTACGTGCCTCCGAGCCTGCGAGACGGGGCCAGCCGCCGCGGGGAGTCCATGCAGCCCAACCGCAGAGGTGAGTGTGGGGAGGGCACCCAGTGCCAGGCTGATGCGTGGGCGGCACCTCCTGTACCCTATGATTATCCCACGGGCGGGGCCAGCCCCTCACTGACGCCTCTCCTTGCCTGCCCAGCTGATGACAATGCCACCATCCGTGTCACCAACCTGTCCGAGGACACTCGTGAGACCGACCTGCAGGAGCTCTTCCGGCCCTTTGGCTCCATCTCCCGCATCTACCTGGCAAAGGACAAGACCACCGGCCAGTCCAAGGTGGGCCAGCAGCCGTGGGGCCGGGGTGGGGTCCTGACTCCCAGCTGTGCCCTGAGCGTTGTCCCTGACCCCCACTCCCTCCCCCAGGGCTTTGCCTTCATCAGCTTCCACCGCCGCGAGGACGCTGCACGTGCCATCGCTGGGGTGTCCGGCTTTGGCTACGACCACCTCATCCTCAACGTCGAGTGGGCCAAGTAAGACCTCTGCCCCCCGCCGCCCCTCGTGGCATCAGAGCTGATACTTGGGCTGACTGTGGACCTTACCAGGGTTGTCCCAGGGCCTGGGTCTCTGACTGTCCTCCCTTCTCATGGAGGGCCGGCGCCCCAAGTCCTGTCTGGCCCCTGGTGTACTCTGCACCTCCGCCCCATCTTTTCCTGCCCCGTCCCCCCACCCTGCCCCCGTTGAGTTCGTGTTGTGTATGTAAGATGGGTGGTGGTCCTGGGACTCCCTCAAGGGTCTAGAGCCCCCCCACTTGCCATCCTCGCTCACCTCATGCTTCCCTTTCTAGGCCATCAACCAATTAAGCCAGCTGCTGCTGTTGCTGCTCAGCCCCTGGCCCCGGGACCCTTCAGTGACAGAAGGCAGCCTCCTGGAGCAGGGGGCTTCAAGGGCAATAAAAAGTCTCTAGTCGCCTTGTGCTGTTCCATCCATTTATTCCCTGATGTCAATCACACTGTTGTGGGTGGGCCACCCCCCCAATCATGGGTTTGCTCCGAGGCCCTGCCCAGGTTTACTGCTGTGAGTGGAAGCTCCTGCAGCTCTGGCATGCGGGCCCCCGGGTCCCGCCGGAGGCCTTTCTGTGGGGAGGAAGTGGGGGCTCCTGGCTTGTTGGGGGGGCTCGGGGCTGGGTTCCAGCATCTTGTGATGAGGAGGGGGCTGAAGGTGGGCCAGGTCATGGGCTCAGTTTGGGAGACTGGAGCCCTGAGGTTTGGGGGGTGGCTGTGACGTTGAGGGGCAGGGCTTGGCACGCAGTGTCCCCTGGGGTCTGACCCTGCCCACAGCCTGGGCAGCATTGGCGGCAGCAGGCCAGGCTGGGCACCACAGCCATGTAGAGCAGCGGGTGGATGCAGATGGCCAAGGGCACCAGGCCCCGGGTCACCTGGTGGGCAAAGTATGTTTTCCAGGCCAGGGCCTTCTCAGCCGCGGCCTTGTTCTCAAAACCCGGGCAGAGGGCTCGCCAGCGCAGCCGGGCATACATGTTGAGCGTCGCTGTGATGTAGTAGGGCACGTAGGAACTCGCGTAGAGGGCCACACCACTGGCCACCAGCACCGTGACCTGCAGCTTGCTGGCCGCCGTCATGCCGTGGCTGTGCTGCACGGCCCGCCCCAGGGCGCCGTAGGCTGCCAGGGTCAGCAGCAGCGGCAGGCCACAGCCCAGGGCTGCCAGCACCAGGTGGTAGACCCGGTAGGCCTCGAGCTGGCTGTCATCCGCTGTCCCCAGGCACTTGATACAGGCCCCCGGACTGGCCACAGAGCACTGGCCTTTGTGCTGGGACCGGCTCAGGTGAGAGAAGCTGAGCGTGGGGGCAGCAAGCAAGACTGCCAGCGCCCAGCCAGCAGCGCTGACAGCCCAGGCATGCTTGGGCCGCAGTTGGCTGTGGGTGAAGAAGGGGTGGACGATGCCCATGTAGCGGTTGAGGCTGATGCAGGTGATGAAGATGACGCTACCCAGCATGTTGCAGGTGAAGAGGAAGCGCTCCAGGCGGCAGGCAGTCTCCCCGTAGCGCCAGTGCTTGGGCGGGTAGAAGTAGGCAGCCAGGGGGGGCAGCGACAGGGCGTAGAGCAGGTCGCTGACCGCCAGCTGGGCCGAGAAGATCACAGCTGGGGGCCAAGGGCGCTGCTCCCGGCTGCAGAAGCGGTACAGGGCCAGGCTATTGCCGGCCAAGGCCACCAGGAACTCGGCTGCCAGCATGGGCCACAGGAAGTCCTCCTGGAGGCCACTGAGGATGCGATCCGCAGCCTCCGAGAAGTTGACTGGGCACTGCATGGCACCTGTGAGCAGAGGGTGTGGCACAGCCCTGTCCCTCACTGTTGCTCCCACTCTGGCACCCTTACCTATTGTGTGCCAGGAGCCCCTTGTGGGCATGTTTCCAGAGTGCTTTTCCACACCCAGGAGGGGGAGTGCCAGCTACAGCACCTTTGTACAGAGGGACTCAGGCCAAGGAAGGTTAGAAGCCCAGAGTCCATTAGGCTCGTGTCCTGGGGCAAGAACCGGGGATGCACATAACCTGGCATTGACCACCAGAACCCTTAGGGCCTGGGGCAGAGAAGCATGAGCCCGAGGGAGGGGGAGGATCCCCACCCCCCCAGCCCCCTCTACAACTCTTAAGTCCCACGTGTCAGTCTGTCACCCCAAGTGTCACCATCTACCTGGGCCAGTAGTCTGGTCCACCTTGGTGTCCCTGCTCCCACTCTCATCATCCATCTGTTCTCACAGCCTCCAAAGGGCACCTGAGTCAGGTCACAACCATACACTCCCAGACTCTCTCCTTACCTACCTGGAAGAAAAATCGGTGCTCACTGGAAAAACCAGTGCTCATCTCTTCCCACAATGCCCCGAGGAAGCTACCGCTCCCACCAACCATGGTGTCCTGGCTGTTCCTTAGGGCAAAAACCTACCTCAGGGCCTTTGCACTCACTGATGCACCAGGTATCCCTGGAGGCAGTCCCCCTCACCGCTTGGTCTCTGATCCTGAGATGACCCTAACCTGGCGACTGCTCCCTGTGGTCCCCTACCCTGCTTATTTTTCCTCCACAGCTCTATCCCCATCCATATGACCACTGTAAGGAAAATCCCCAGAAGCTTCCCTCCCGAGGGTAGAAGTGCCCTGCTCCTGGGCTCCCCATGCCAGCACCTGGGACGCAGCAGCATAGGGGAGCTGAGCTCTCTTGTCTGTCCTTCACACACCCCACTCAGCCTCAGCTTTCTGAGGAATGGCCTGGACTCCTGGCTGGTCCAGCAGGCTGGCCATAAGCTCTGTGCATGTACCCCTTCCGTGACCCAGATGGCTCCTCCACTTTCACTTCTGCTTTCCTATCCCATCCCTCTTGTCTGGGAGGAAGCGAGTCCAGCAGTGATTCTTTACCCATCTCCCCACCACCCTCTAGGAGCTGGCCACCTCCACCCCCAAGGCCCTGGATGTGCCTGGCTTCACTAGCGCTGGCTCCTCACCTGAGATGTTGCTGGCTAGGGCCCGCATGCCTGCCTCTGGGTCTGCAGCCACCCTTTGCCCCGTGCAGCGTGGTCCCTTTTGAGACACAAACCACTGGCCCCTCCCCTTCCTGGCAGCACCACCTTCGGCCCGCGAAGCGGGTCTGGGCTCACGCCTCACTTCCACTTCCTGCTTCCCTTCTGACAGCACCCAACCTCCAGAGCTGGTTCATCTGCTGTGGGGCACTGGGTAGGCTGGGGAGGGGTCCAGGACCCCAGGGCACCACAGGAGGGTCACACCTGTGTCACCCTGGCATATAAGGTCTTGCACGTCCACTGCCCAGGTGCAGACAGGGGCCTGGGTGTGGAGCAGAAAGCAAGCCCGCCATTTCAAATGCAGACTCAGCCTCATGAGAAATGAGTTTATTAGAGGGGAAGGTGGGAAAGCAGCTCTCCTTTATGAAAGGAAACCGAGGGCTGCGCCTGGAGGCCCAGGAGGGGAGCCCAGCACAGCACCTCTCGGGCCCCAATCTGGGGCATTCCATCTGCCACCCAGGCTTGGCCTCAGGCTGCTCTCTTGGGTGGCCGAGGTCGGCCTTGCCCACGGTTCCTGGCAGGCCCCCTGGGTCCCACCTTGGCCTGGGCCCCTGGGCCCCTGCCCTTGGCCTTTTGAGGTCTCCGGTCACTGCCTCGGTCCGGCTTCCGTTCCTTCAGCCGCTGCTTCTTGCCTGGGGGCCCAGCAGGCCGCCTCCTCTTGGCTGCCTTTGGAAACATGTCTGCAGGGAGAAGTGGTGTCAGGGCCACCAGGCGTAGGGACGGACAGGCCCGTGGTACCCAGGTGCCCAGAGCCCTGTCTGCCACACACCTTCATCAGGTTCCTCGCCCAGAGCCTGGCGGAAATACTCAGCCTCATCCTCTTCTTCCTCTTGCTGGCTGGTCCCCTCTGCCTCTGGCGGGGCCCCGGGGTCCTCTGCGTCACTATCCCCATCGGCCTCTGCCCTCGCGCGCTTCATGCCCGCCAGGCTCTTCTTCCTGGAGAAGGGACATTGGTCAACGTGGCAGCCTGCACTTGGGACCCCGCCTCAACTGTCTGGTGACCACACACTTGTGAGCCTCTCGCTGCTCCCGCTTGCGCCGAATGTTCTGGGCCTGCTGGTCCTGTCTCTGGGCCTTGAGCCGGAGCTTCTCCTCCTTGGCAGCCAGGATGGCCTGCAGCTCCTCCTCGGTTTTGTGCACTGAGCAGGAAGAGGAGGCCACTGAGCGCTCCATCCCCAAGACCCAGGTGAGCCCACCGTGGCCAGGCCTCGGGCCCCACTGTGCCCCTGGCCCCACCCTCACCGAGCCTGTGGAACAGCACGTTGCCCTCTCCGACCCCCTCTTGGATCTTGATGAGCTCCAGCGTCATCCGAGGCCCAATCTGGAGGAACGGCAGAAGATGGGATGGGGTGTCACTCCCTCCTCGGGGATGGGGGAGCACCAGGCCTGCCCCGCACTGAGCCTCACCTCCGTGAGCCGCACGGCGCTCTGCTGGGCCCGCATGTTGCCGCGCCCCGCCACAGCCTGTGGCAGCTCTGTGATGTTGTGCTCGCCATCGGGCTCCGCCTCGCTCTCCGACAGCCCTGCACCCCTGCGTGGGGCACACGAGGGGCTCAGCAGGGGCTCCCTGGCTGCGAGGACAGCTTTGGGGTCCCCTGGAGTGTGGTGCCCCGCTCCCCGCCACCAGCTCAAGCCCCCCTCACGTGGCCAGCAGTTCACTGATGTCCTGCAGGCGACTCATGTTGGGGAACTTCTCCTGGAGAAGCTTCTTCATCCCACGACTGGCACCCACAGGGACCACCTTGATGCTGCTGCAGGGGTGGGAGGGAGGCAAGGGTGGGGGTCAGGAGCCATGGGGTCACAGGTCAGCCCTACCCTGCCAACCCTTTCCAGTGCGTCAGCGCGTTTACTTTGAGACTGAGCAATCACAGAGTCTCAGCAGCTGTGCTGTCATCAGCCGCACATGGGGCCATGCACCCCCCACCCGCCCACTCCCCACTGAGAACTCACTAGTGGCGGAAATCCAGCTCCTGGGAGTCAGGGTTGTAGTTGATGAGAAGGCAGCGCTTGATGGTGTTCAGGTTCACCTGGGAGAGAAAAGAGGGCACGGCACCTGGTGAGTGGGCCATGGGCCCCCCTGTGTGCTAGAGGCCCTGCTGAGCCCTGGCTATGGCCACACTCCAGAAAGGCGGCCTGGGTGCTGCCAGCACTGCAGGGACGGATGGGGCTGCAACTGGTGTCCACAGGCTACCTGGGGCTAGAAATCCAGCTTGCGAGGCCCGTTGAGGTTACCCACACTGGACTCCCTGATACCAGGGATCAGGAGCTGGGGCTCTGGAGCCAGACAGATTTAAAGAATCTAGTCCTACCTTCTTGTCCTTCATATCTAACTTGAGACTAGTATCTTCACCTCTTGTCAGCCTGTTTCCCTCTCTGTAAAATGGAACATGCTACTTAACTTAGATCAGCATTCAACGAATGCACCCTTAGGAAATGAAATACCATGGACATTATTTCCCACCTGCCAGATGGGAGAGCATGAATGGGTTTAGAACTCAGGATCCAGAACTCTCAGCCTTAGGGCTGGGAGGTGAAGACTGAGGCTGAGTGTGGTCCTTGCTGCCTGCTTCACCTGCACTCACCTTCATCACACATGGCCTGGCTCACCTTATGCACGTTGATGGAGGGGAACAGGTTCTGGAACATGGTGGCCATGAGCTTCACGTGCATGCCATGGGGGCCAAAGCTGTTGAGCACCAGAAGGGGTGGGTGTGCAAACTGCTGCTCATGCATGCGGTGCCGGCGTAGCGAGGAGACCACATCACGAACCAACGTGTACTGCAGGGCAGGGCGAGGAATGGGTGACCACCTGTCCAGCACACGCAGCTGGTGCAATTCCCAAACCCAGCTCCTGCCCCTCGGAGGCCTCATGTCACCTCTTGTGTTGTTGTGAAAGTCGCTCAGTCGTGTCTGACTCTGCGACCCCATAGACACAGTCCATGGAATTCTCCAGGCCAAAATATTGCAGCGGGTTCCCTTCTCCAGGAGAATCTTCCCAACCCAGGGATCAAACCCAGGTTTCCTGGGTTTGCAGGCCGATTCTTTACCAGCTGAGCCCCGTGTCACTTCAAGTCCTTACCTTGTTGATCCGGAAGGTCAGGGTAGGGCCTCCTGGGAGACGCATCAGTTTCTGCAGAAGAGAAGATCTGTGAGGGTTGAGGTGTCTAATTCAGAAGTGGGGTTGGGGGTGGGGGTGGGAAATGGAGATCACCGCCCATCTCTTCAGAGCGTTTACTTTGAAGCCAGAATCATGGCAGTTCAGAGGCACAAGGGTCATCATGAAAGCTGGCGGCAGAGGAGGGTGTGGGGAGTGAGGGGGCGAGAGCATCCACTCACAAAATAGACGTTGGTCTCTGTTTTGCTCACGATCAGGAAGTGCGTGACCCCAAGGGGCCCAGCCACTGCTACACAATCTTTCAGAGAGTTTTTCTTCCGTATCTGGAAACGATAAAAAGAAAAATGGATGATCACAGATAACCTCTTATTAAGCAAAGCCTTTAAGCCTAAACTGTTATGCCATTTCTTGCACTTAACCCTTTAGAGAGCTAGGGGGAGAGGGGAATGGAATGCTCTTGGCCTCTAGAGCCAATCAGACTTTAACTGAGGCTTCTGTCTCTTGACACTGCATCATCATACTTTTCAGAGGGCCCATCTGAGGCTCAGCGAGGTTAAGTAACTTGGCTCGGGCCTTTGAGAGAAGCCAGCTTTGTTAACTCGAGTGCCCTCTTAACCATCAACCTTAGGCATTCAGCCAAGCTCCAGGCTGGGTGCGTTCATCTGCTCGCCCTCGCTGCTGCCCCTCAAATCCCTGAGAGGCAGGCACGATGGTCCCCATAAGGTTCCCTTTCTCCAGCCTAGGAAACTGAGGCCTCCAGCGGTTTCGAGGATGAAGCCACCCCCATAGCTGAGAAGACGAGGCCCAGGGCGGGTGGAGGTGGGCTGGGTGATGCAGACCTGCAGGCGGGTGGCGGTGAGCGGCTCCATGACCCGCCTCAAGTCCATACTGAGCTGCTGGACGCTGCGACCCACGCGGCCCCGAGCGAACACGAACGAGTGCGGCTGCGCGGCATAGGCTTCGAGGTTCCGGAGATGAGCTTGGGCGCGCGCGCGCTTCTGGTGCCGGGACTGAGGGGACGAGAGGCAAGAGGTGAACCCCGCTGCCACTGGCGGAACCCCGCCCCCGCTGCCCGCTTTCCTGGCCGCCGCGACTCACCCTCCCCGACTGTCCCATGTCGCCGTCCTTTCCACGAGGCCTCGTCTGCCGGCTGCTTCCGGCGCTGCTCCGCTCACTTCCGGCTCCGCCGAGGCGACTATGTGGGGCGCCTCGATGACGTCACCAACAGCGCATGCGCACCAGGTGGCGGGAAAACCGTCCTCGGAGGGGTTGCTATGGAAACACCAAGGGCCTGTTTCTACGGAAACCAGGGCGGGGCCATGGTTCGAAATGAGCCCCTGGTTCGAATCCCGCCTCGGCCATTTCCACCAGCTGTGCGATTTTGAGAGCCAAGCTCTCCACTCTTAGGCTCCTAAAATATCCTCAATGATCATCATTTCCTCTCTGAACCGCGAATTAAGAGAGATGATGTGTACACAATACTTGGCACCCTGGCGCCAGGCACTTGGGAGCCTGAGAAGGGGGTAGTGCCTTGGTAACTACTCGATTGGGCCCCCAGCTCCTGAGGATCAGCTGTCCCTCGCAGAGGCCCTGTCTGTGGACTGGCTTGGGGATGGAAACTCCACATCATCTTCTGGAAATTCAGGGCAAGGCGGGCGCTTGGTCAATAATTCCCCCCCTCCCAGTTTCCGCTCAAAGCCCCAGTCTTGGCCTCAGGCCTCTCTGGCTTCTTCCCCAGAACCTTCGGGTGGGGGAAGAGATTTCCCCCAACATCTCTCTCCCTGTTCCATCTGTTTCCTTCCCCTGTCTCCCCTCCCCACTTTACTCCCCTCCCCCATTTGTCTCCTCACCATTTGCTTTCCCTCTCCTGTCTCCCCACTCCAATTTTTTCTCCTCTCCTCACTTCTGTCTCCCCCTCCCCATCCCTGTCTTCCCCCTGTCTGCCTCCCTCTCCCCAGCCTTGCTCCTGCCATCAATTGTCTCCTTCATCATCTATAAGTTTCCGCCTTTCTCCTCTCTCTGCCCCATTCCCATTTCTCTCTTCTCATCTCTCTCTTCATTGCTCACCTTTCTCCCCATCTTCCCTACCTCTCTCCCCTGTCTCCTGGACACTCTCTTCCACTAGCCCCTCTCCTTGATTTCTGAGGTTTCTTTCTCCGCAGCCAAAAGGGGGAGCCGGAGGAGACTACCAGTGAGGGGCGGAGGGGCCCCAGCCCAGGCCCAGAGCCCAGCCTGGCAGCGTCTCTCAGATCTGGGACGACCATTTCCTCCTTCAGCCCGGGAGGCCACTCGGGTTACGAGCTCAGGACAGTAGCAACTGGGAGAGTGTGTCTGCTGGTCGGGGAGGCCTTCTTACAAGGAGACCCTGGTCCGGTGGGGGCTCTACGTGAGTCGCTTTGTACCTCTGAGAGATAAGTGTGTGGTTACTGCTGACTGTTTTCGTCCTTGCAGGACTTGACCTGTGTGAGGATGTGAGAGTGTGTGGGAGATAAATGGAAACTTCCAGTGGGTGGCAGGCGGGTATCAGGGGCTTGTCTCTGCGCTTTCCAGTTGGTTTGTGTCTCTGTCCTTACTGGTGTGTGACTGAGTGTACTTGGGTGTGCATGCGCCTGATGCACAGATATGGACACACTCAGCCCACGGGATATTTTCCTTGTTGATGTATGTGTGTTATGTGACCACACTTTGAAAAGTTACTGTCCAAATCTGTGCTGTGTTTCCAGTTGTCTTTTTTAATTTTTTTTTGCCACACCACAAGGCTTGTGGGATCCTAGTTCCGTGATCAGGGATGCAACCTGGCCCCCGGCAGTGAAAGAGTAGAATCCTACCACTGGGCCACCAGGGAATTCCCTCCAGTTGTGTCTTTATAATTGGGTGTGCCAGGCAAATCCATGGACACACACACATACACACAGATTCCATCGATCTTTGCTGCTTTGTGCAATGCTTTGCATGTCTTATCAGGGTATCTGTATGTCTTTGTGCTGCACTGTTACACAGGAGTATGTGACTGTCGTGGTCATGTGTGAGTTCTGGAGCCATGTTACCTGGGCTGAATCCCACTGCTGATCTTTTCTTTGGCTGTGAGCCACAGGCCAGTTGCTCACCCTGTCTGAGGCTCAGTTCTCTGCTGTAAAATGTGGCTACTTACAGAAACCAGCTCAGGTGGCCAGGAATAAATGAGATACAAAATGTCGCGTTTAGAGTCACCCCTGCCAGGCAGCAGGTGCTGCTGATATTCGCCGTTGTGGTTCTCTGTGATGTGTGTCTGTGTGTCTATGTCTGAGGCTGGGATCCGCCCCAGCCTCCTGGGCCTGCAGCCTCCCACGCTCTGAGCTCTGCTGTTGGGGGAACGTTCAGGGCACTGAACTGTGTTATCAGGCTCTGGTGGCCTGAGCAGGAGGGTCTGGCAATTCCCCTTCTGTCCTCACGTGGGAAATGCTAAATATTTACAGTTGGAGCTCCTCGGCTTAGCATTTCACAGCTCCAGTTCCAGGCTCTGGGTGGCTGGGGGTGGTTACCACGCCTCCTTCCTCCTTGCTCTCCCACTAGCCTCTCCTCTTCTCCAGAGGTCCCGCTGGACACTCTGCTCCTTCTCGGACTTCTTGTATCTGCTGTGGGCCTTGTGGAACTCAGGGTCTTGGTCGTGAGAGGTGAGAGCGCAGGAAGGTGGGAGGGTAGGTGGAGGCTGAATCTGTCTGTTGGGAAGCCTGGGCCTCGGTTTGGCTGGGGGGCTCCCCAGGCCTCCTCTTTACCACAGGCTGAGATCCCAAAAGGCAGCAGATGTCACACACACTCTAGTTCCAAGGGGTTTGTGTGTGTGCATGTTCAGTGGTGTCCAACTGTTTTGCGACTCCATGGACTGTAGCCCGCCAGGCTCCTCTGTCCGTGGGATTTCCCAGGCAAGAATACTGGCGTGGGTTGCAATTTTCTACTCCAGGGGATCTTGCAGACCTGGGATTGAACCCGCGTCTCCTGCGTTAGCAGTCAGATTCTTTACCTGGGAAAGCCTCCAAGGGGTTTGGTCCATCCCTATTATGTAGGGCCTGATGTCTTCCAGGGTTGGGGGCAAGGAGAGGACCCTGCTCTGCTCTGGGGAGTTAGTGCTTGGTGTTTGAGTACCGTTGTGAATATGCCTTTCTGCAGCTCAGAACCCTCCCACTGCTCCCATGGAAGTTGGAGTAAAACTCCAGATCCTCCTCTGGTCCCTGCACACTGTGCCTCCATCACCTCCTTGTCCTCACTGCCTCCGGCTCTCCCCTTCTCACTCCGTTCCAGCCTCACAGGCCTCTCTGCTATTCCCTGGGCATATCAAGTTAGGTTCCACCTTTCTCTCTTCCCTTTATCTCTCTTCCTTCAGGTCTTCACTCAAGTGTCATTTTCTCAGTGAGGTCTGACTCCTCTACTTATTCTTTTTTTTTTTTTTTTGCCTCGCCACATGGCTTGTGAGATCTTAGTTCCCTGACCAGGGATAGAACCCAGGCCCCTGGCAGTGAAAGCAAATTCTGACTCCTTTATTTGAAGTGCCTCCCAGCCCAGGTCTCTCACATCCTTCCATATTTTTTCTCCTAAGACTTATCACTCTAAGACCTACCTATTGTGTTTTTTTCCAGTCTGTTCTGTGAGGGCAGGGGTTTTGTCTGTGTTGGTCACAGCTGTGTCCCCATCTCCTGGCACACAACAGGTGCTCAAGGAATGGTTGTTGAGTGTGTGAACGAGGTAATGTGTGTGACCACCAGTTATGTGTGGGTTTGGACAAAGTGGATGTTGGTGCCGACAGGGCTGACATGTGGACCATTTTCTGAATGTGGGCAAATGCACATGGGAGGAACGTGTTTCCCCATCTGAGAGGCTGCAAGTGTGTGAACCCCAGGAATGAAGACAGTGGGGGCCTGGGTGTGGATCCTGCAGGGGAGTTAGTGGCCACAAGTATACATCCTTGAGCGAAGACACCTATATGAGCTCACCTGTGGGAGTCAGGGAATACCCTGGGGGGAGCACGTGGGTGTGGCAGGGCGCGTGTGGCACCAAGCGCTGTTTTAGGAGCTGGGGACAGAGCAGTGAACAAAACCCAGACTCAGCCTCTGGGAGCTGATATTTTGGTGGAGGAATTCAGAGCATAAACAGTGGCAAATCAATGAGGCAAATGCAGAATGACAAATGCTAAATGACAAAGACCATGGGGACTTCGAAGGTGGTTTACTGGCTGAGACTCTATGCTCTCAATGCTGGGGGCCTGGGTTAAATCCCTGGTCAGGAAACTAGATCCCACATGCCGCAACTAAGACCGGTGCAGCCAAATAAATAAATATATTAAAAAAAAAAGAAAGAAAAAGTCCATATAGGGTGTGCCCAGGAGGGGCGACTCTAAATGGGGTAGTCAAGGAGGGCTTCTAAGGAGACAGCTGAGACCTGAATAAGGAGAGGGAGGCATGATAAATTGAGGGAAGAATATTCCAGGCTGAGAAAACAGCAAGTGCAAATGCCTTAAGGCTGAAGGATGCCCTGTGTGTTTGAGGAACAGCCAGGAGGCCAGGGTGGCTGGAGCAGTGAGTGGGGTGAACAGGAGGAGGTGAGGAAGGGAGGGGACTGGACAGAGCTTATAGAACTTTCTGCGCTGCAGGAGGATTCGGGCTTTTCCTCTAAGTGAGGGGACATGACCTGACTTGGGTGTTCACAGGCATTCTCGGGCTGCTGTTGGAAAAACAGAGCAGAGCCTGAGGACAGAAGCCTGGAGACCTGGGAGGTAGCAACTCTAAGGAAAGCCAGATGGTGTCTTGAGCTTGGATCATGGGTTAGCATGGTGGTGGTGGCGGGTGAATGTGGAGGAATTCAGGGTCTAAACACAAGAGCTGACAGGCCTGGCTGATGGGTTCCATCTGTCATGGAGAAAGAGACAGGGACAACCCTGGGATTTGGGGCTGGGTATATGGGAAATGTGGTATCTGCTACTAGACTGAATTAGGGGGACTTTTCCCTCATCCCTTCTCTCCCCATTTTCCCATGGTTTCTGCTTCAGCCTCCTCCAGGTACTTTTAACATATCAGGCATGACCCACCCTCAGGGCTTTTAAAATTTCAGTTATCCCTGCCAGGGACCTCTTCTCCCCTAGAAACCCCCATGGTTTCCTCCCTCAGGTTTTTGTATAAAAATGTCACCTCCTCCAGGTCTTCCCTCCTCTCAAATCCCCGTATCTCTGTCTTTTTACTGGTGTCTTTTTTTTTTTTTTTTTTTTTTGCGGGATCTCAGCTCCTGGACCAACCAGGGACGGAATCCAAGTCCCGAGGAGCGAAAGCGCACAGTTAAACTACTGACGGCCAGGGTATCGTCCTGTCTTTTACTGTTATCCTTAGTACAAACTAGGGCCGTCTAATACTCTATTAATTCTAACTTAATTTTGTTCCTTGCTCACCGGGGCAGGGATTTTTTTGTGTGCTAGCCCGACTGTATTCCCAAGCGCCTAGAACTGAGGCCAGCAAACAGTCAGCTCTCAGTGAAGCCTTGCAGAGTGAATGCACGAAGCATATTGACCTGTAGGGCGCCTGGAACTCAGTGGTGAGGCCAGGGACGGGTTCTACTGCAGCATCTCCAACCTCGGGGCTGGGAAGGGGATGTATCCGCTGTGAGGCTGCTGTTGGAAAAACAGAGCAGAGCCTGAGGACAGAAGCCTGGAGACCTGGGAGGTAGCAACTCTAAGGAAAGCCAGATGGTGTCTTGAGCTTGGATCATGGGTTAGCATGGTGGTGGTGGCGGGTGAATGTGGAGGAATTCAGGGTCTAAACACAAGAGCTGACAGGCCTGGCTGATGGGTTCCATCTGTCATGGAGAAAGAGACAGGGACAACCCTGGGATTTGGGGCTGGGTATATGGGAAATGTGGTATCTGCTACTAGACTGAATTAGGGGGACTTTTCCCTCATCCCTTCTCTCCCCATTTTCCCATGGTTTCTGCTTCAGCCTCCTCCAGGTACTTTTAACATATCAGGCATGACCCACCCTCAGGGCTTTTAAAATTTCAGTTATCCCTGCCAGGGACCTCTTCTCCCCTAGAAACCCCCATGGTTTCCTCCCTCAGGTTTTTGTATAAAAATGTCACCTCCTCCAGGTCTTCCCTCCTCTCAAATCCCCGTATCTCTGTCTTTTTACTGGTGTCTTTTTTTTTTTTTTTGCCTCTTGCGGGATCTCAGCTCCTGGACCGACCAGGGACGGAATCCAAGTCCCGAGGAGCGAAAGCGCACAGTTAAACTACTGACGGCCAGGGTATTGTCCTGTCTTTTACTGTTATCCTTAGTACAAACTAGGGCCGTCTAATACTCTATTAATTCTAACTTAATTTTGTTCCTTGCTCACCGGGGCAGGGATTTTTTTGTGTGCTAGCCCGACTGTATTCCCAAGCGCCTAGAACTGAGGCCAGCCAACAGTCAGCTCTCAGTGAAGCCTTGCAGAGTGAATGCACGAAGCATATTGACCTGTAGGGCCTGTAGGGCGCCTGGAACTCAGTGGTGAGGCCAGGGACGGGTTCTACCGCAGCATCTCCAACCTCGGGGCTGGGAAGGGGATGTATCCGCTGTGTGCGTTCCCGTGTGGGAGCGGACGGGGTTTGGTCCGACTTAATAGTCGGGGGTCCAGCCCCCCTACTTCCCGTTCATTCTCTGCCCGCAGGTCCGCCATGTCGGCACCCCGGCTGCTCACGTTGCAGCTGCTGCTCCTGCTGGGCGCGTGGTGGGCGCGCGCGGCCGCCCCGCGTTGCACCTACACCTTCGTGCTGCCCCCGCAGAAGTTCACGGGCGCCGTGTGCTGGAGCGGGCCGGCGGCCGCGCGCCCGACGCCGGAGGCCGTGAACGCCAGCGAGGTGGCGGCGCTGCGCGTGCGCGTGAGCCGTCACGAGGAATTGCTGCGCGAACTTCAGCGGCTGGCAACGGCCGATGGCGCCGTAGCCGGCGAAGTGCGTGCGCTGCGCAAGGAGAGCCGAGGTTTGAGCGCGCGCCTGGGCCAGCTGCGCGCGCAGCTGCAGCACGAGGCGGGCCCGGGGGCGGGGCCTAGCCCAGGGGCGGAGCCCGCCTCGGCGCTAGCGCTGCTCGGGGATCGCGTGCTGAACGCCTCGGCCGAGGCGCAGCGCGCTGCCGCCCGTTTCCACCAGCTGGACGTCAAGTTCCGCGAGCTGGCACAGCTAGTCAGCCAGCAGAGTGGCCTCATCGCCCGCCTGGAGCGCTTGTGCCCGGGGAGTGCGGGCGGACAGCAGCAGGTAACTCCGAAACTATCACCCTTCCCAAATCGCAGCCACTTCTTGTGGGCATTGTCAGTAAGGTGGGGCCTCCTGAAACCCCACTATCTCTTATCCGCGGTTCTGAAGTACAAAAAGCTCCATAAACCGGATCCCTATCTCTCCTCCAACAACTTATTTGGGGCAAAACGCTACTGGTAGCTACTTAAAGTCTTTACTTATCTACCTGATATGAATACTCATAGTGGTGGTGGTTTAGTCGCTAAGTTGTGTCCGATTCTTGTGACCCCATGGACTGTAGCCTGCCAGGCTCCTCTGTCCATGGGATTCTCCAGGCAAGAATACTGGAGTGGGTTGCCATTTCCTTCTTCAGGGGTTCTTCCCAACCCAGGAATTGAACCCAGCTCTCCTGCATTGCAGGCAGGTTCGTGTAATCAGGTATATTACTAATATGTGCATGAACACCAAAGACCTCATTGGGGATGCTAGGGAATATATGTAGACCCTGTGTTACTGTTTCTTGTTGTCCTTTAGTCTAAGTCGTGTCTGACTCTCTGCAACCCCATGGAGTGGGTTGCCATTTCCTTCTGCAGTTACTGTTTCTAACTCCTGCTGTATTATTCAGAGTTCTGGACTATGTCTGGCCTTGGGTTTTGAATAAGAGATTGTTGCTCTGATAGGAGCCACCTTACAGCTTTGGGAGGCTTCAGTAATTTAATACTCAGTGTTGGATTGCCTCCTATTATCCCTGCTTTACAGAAAAGTTTGGAGGCACAGATTGGTTAAGCTGTGGACACCAGAGCTAGAGTTCAAGCCCAGCTGTGTCTCTTTTTAAATTTTTTGGCTACACCTTGAGGCATGGGGGAATCTTAATTCCCCGACCAGGGACCGAACCGCTCCCCTAGGAGTAGAAGCAGAGTCCCAACTGCTGGACCACTGGGAAGTCCGACTCTGTCTCTTGACTGCTGGAGTTAGGCTTCGGAGGATCAAGCCATGCTCCTGCTTGATCGCCTTCCCATCTGGGTCCTGGGAGATGTAGGAGCCTAGAGGCTCCAGGGCTAGGGTATCTGACTTTCTTGGCTACCCCAGGTCCTGCCCCCACCGCTGGTACCTGTGGTCCCTGTCAGTTTGGTGGGTGGCACCGGCGACACCAGCAGGAGGCTAGACTCAGCTGCAGAACCTCAGAGAGATCAGACCCTGAGACAGCCGGGACCCCTGGCCTCTCCTCTGCCCTCGGGGCATTCTGCTGTTCCTGCTAAGCCAGCAGGTGAGTCAAGGGCGTGACTGTTGTGGGTGTGAGGAGCCAGGGGATTCCCAGTGCAGCGTGAACAGAGGGAAATAGGAGGCAGGACCTTAATGCGAGATTCCTCTTATGGTGAGGGGGCTGGGGGAAATGATGCATTTTATTCTGTTGATGGAACAGCGAGATATGGCTCTGACTCTAATAAGGAACAAAATTCTTACTATGGTGTGAAACTAGGAGAGGTACTCTTATTTTGATGAGAGGGCAGCAGATTTAAGAATGCTACTTTGGTGAGCATTGGAGGAAGTTCAGAGGGCCATGTTCAGGACCTCTCTTCTGGTGAAACCAGAGAAGGATTTAAGAATCCCAGGCTCCACATTGGCTCTACTGAGAGAAGAGTGACTTAGTCTTATTTAGGTAAGAAAATGTGTATTGGGGCTTTTATCCTGGAGAGGGAATAAGAGAAGCAGTGCTGCTATTCTGGTGAGGGGACCTGTGAGAATCAAGATTCTTACTCCAGTAAGGGGTTGACTGGTCCAGCTTGTGCCTCTCCCATATCCCTGTGCCCATAGGCCCATGGCGGGATTGTGCAGAGGCCCGCCAGGCAGGCCATGGACAGAGTGGAGTGTATGAGTTACGAGTGGGCCGGCACGTGGTGTCAGCATGGTGCGAGCAACAGCTGGAGGGAGGAGGCTGGACTGTGATTCAGAGGCGACAAGATGGCTCGGTCAACTTCTTCACTACCTGGCAGCACTACAAGGTGGGCACAGGTGGGTGGGGCGGGGCTGGGCAGGGGAAGGGGACCAGCTCCTGACTTTCTGACTTTCCTGCCAGGTGGGCTTCGGGCAGCCTGATGGGGAATACTGGTTGGGCCTTGAACCTGTGCATCAGCTCACCAGCCGTGGGGACCATGAGCTACTGGTGCTCCTTGAAGACTGGGGAGGCCGTGGGGCACGAGCCCACTATGATGGTTTTTCCCTGGAGCCTGAGAGTGACCACTACCGCCTGCGGCTTGGCCAGTACCATGGGGATGCTGGAGACTCTCTTTCCTGGCACAATGACAAGCCTTTCAGCACCGTGGATAGAGACCGAGACTCCTATTCTGGTAAAGGGCTCTTATTTTGGTGGTGTGTGGGGGCAGGATAGAAGACTCTTAGTGAGGAAATGAAAGAGGGTGGGGTAAGACTTTCCTCTGGTAGGGATCAGGGCAAACAAGAGAATGGAGCACAGGACTCTTACTCTGGTGAGGGAGTCTAGATTCATCCTCTAATGAGTCAATAAGTCAGGGCCCTTGCCTTTGTGAAAGGTGGTGGGGGAAAGGTGGAGCTGTGAGAGCTAGGACTTTTAATTATTCTAGAAAGAAAGTAGAGAAGGTTGTTTTTTCTGATAAAGGAATGAGAGGTAAAGCTCCTAGTTTGCAGAAAGGATGGAGAAAAATATGACTTGTACTTTGGTAAGGGAATAAGGAAGAAACTAAGGCTATTACTTTGAAGTAGGGGGACAGAGGATGCCTGGCAAAAGCCTTGTGCTAGTGAGTTGCTGGTAGAGGCTTTTATGCTGGTGAGAAGAATAAAATAAGGCTTTTTTTCCCCCCTTTCCCCTCAGGTAACTGTGCCCTGTACCAGCGGGGAGGCTGGTGGTACCATGCCTGTGCCCACTCCAACCTCAATGGCGTGTGGCATCGAGGTGGCCACTACCGTAGCCGCTACCAGGACGGGGTCTACTGGGCCGAGTTTCGTGGTGGGGCTTACTCTCTCAAGAAGGCTGCCATGCTGATCAGGCCCCTGAGGCTGTGACCCTCTGTCCATCTGTCCCTCAGGTCCCAGGGGATGTGTGTCAGCAGGAGCCCAAGTTGTCCTGGTCACCCCTCCTTCGTGGCTCCACGCAGACCACGCCCCACAGACCTTTTCCCGTTGTGGATCTGCAGGGCTTCCCCGGGGCTCTGCAGACAGTGCCCAGGAATCCCCCTGCCAATATCTTGGACCCAGACGGCTCCCCAAGGGCATTGAGATCTCAGTTTGAGCTCATATTTTATAACAACACAAAATATCCACAGACCGTGTCTGGTTTGCATCTGCATCTGGCAGGGGTCACTCCCCGTGCCCGCCCTCCTCCTCCTCCTCCTCTTCCTCCTCCTCCTCCTTCAGGTCCTCCAGAATGAGGTTGTCCAGGTCTTCCAGGAGGCCCTCCTGGCTCAGGCAGGTGGCCACAGTGGAGCCACTGCTGATGTGGAGGTTGCTGGGGTGCAGGACTTTGGGCAGGTGGTTCTGCTTTCGGCTCTTGGGGTGTGCACAGGACGTCCCAGGCACGTGGGGCTCTGGGGAGGGAGAGATTCTGAGCCCCCTCCTGGGGCTGGAGGCCACGGGGTGCTCTGGGGGAGGGGAGGGGCTGAGGCCACAGGCTCTAGGGCAGAGGTGGAAGTCATAGACGTTGAAGCCACAGGAGACCCAGGGTCATGGGCATCACCTGAGACTACAGAGGACAAAACAGGAGCCAAGAACACAGAGAGACTACAGGGGCTGAGTCCATAGGACACCCGGATGTGGGTCATCAGGGTGAAACCACAAAGCCTTATGGGTGAAAACATGGAGGGTGGCTGATGCCATGGGAGGCGAGTGTGAGGAGGGACCCCCTCCAGGACAGACCTGGAGGCAAGGAGGTGGAGGACGGTGGAAGATGTGGAAGGAGGAGGGGCCCATGTGGTAAGAGGTGAAATGGCCTCCAGAACTAGGACCTTAGGAGTTAGGTGGAAGAAGCAGGCAGACACCTTGGTGCTTAAAGCCCCAGAGGTGGAAGTCCCAGGAGTCCAGGCCACATAGACGGCCCGGAATAGGGGGAGGCCACGGGGACGCGCCAGGTGCTCACCTCTCCGATTGTAGCAGTCCTCAGCGGAGCAGGAGTGGGTGTGGGTGCTGCGGCGATCCGGGTCGCGATCCCAGCGTGGAGGGAGGATCCGTGTCGGATACACAGGGAAGCCGCACCCGTAGCAGGGGGACCGGGACCCCATCTGTGCCCAGCCCCTGGGGGCGGGCGGGGCTGTGAGGGTCCAAGGGCCAGCCGGACCAGGACGGGCCAGGGTAGGGAGGGGTGGGGCGGGGCTGGGGC